AAAAAATTTATTTATTTATTTTATATTGATTTATTATAGAGGATATAAGTTAGATAAAGAAGGTTTACTGTTATTCATATTCATCAAAATACAATATATCTAATTGAAAACATTGATAAAGGTTTTATTTCAAGAAATATTTTATCTAACAAATGTAAAGGTAAGCTAGTTTATTTATTTGATTTAATTTATTAATAATTAAATTATTATTTAAATATTAAATTTTTTTTTTATTTAATATTAATTAAGCTAAAAATCAGATAACGTTTCTATAAAGCGCAAAAAGAAATCCAAGAAAGTTATTACTGTTGATTCTGATGTTGAAGATAACAGAGAATAGATTTACTTTAAAACTGAATGATCTTGAATATCAAGAAAAAGCTTTAGCTTAAAAGAACGCGAAATTGCTTTACGAGAAAGAGAGGTTAAAATTCGTGAGAAGGAATTATTAAATCTTGAAAAAGAGCACAAATTAAAATATAATGATTAATATCATTTTACTATAAAGATGTTAAAATAATTTTGAAATAAAATAACAAAGACGCAGAATTGTTCTTTGTTTATATGAATTCAATTTACACGTTTTATTGAGAATTAAAAGGTTACAGATCCTAAGTTCGTTAGAGTGGGTGGTTAGATGGTGAAAGGTAGGAAAATTATTTTCGTTTTTTTTTTTTTGAAATTTAAAGCATATTTTATCTCTAAAATTTACTTAATTTTATCTAATTTTTTTATTTAAAATGTTTATTAGAATAAGAAAAAAAAAATACACGAATCTATATAATTATATTTATTTATATTAGTATATTTTTTATTTTTTATATTATATAAATCGCATTTTATTTATTTAACATTATATAATATTAGTAAATCCACAAATTTCAAATGTTGTCGTACACAGTCAATTTATATATGACACCACTCATTTGATTAACGGACTCCACTCCTTTCTGTCTTACCTCCTCATTTATTAGGGAAGTTGGTAATTTCGCTAGTAAGTCAGAATATGCCTGATTTAAATGCCATTATATATTTATACATTACGCAAAAAATTGGAATTTCATTGAAAAGCACCCCCTCAGTCAAAGATTTCGGGGTGGAATCATACACATGATTGTTAACTGATTTGATGGATCGATTCCAATAAATGATTCTGAAGAAACAAAGTTTTGAGGGGGTAAATTACCACGTAAATACAGTATAATATTATTCAAAATAAAATGGATAATAAATCATTGTAATTTCCGTCACGAAATCGTGACAATCGGAAAAAAATACATACCGCAATATAACTGGGAAATCTAACTCCGATCAAAGAATATAAAAATCACGTCCGCGATGAAAATTTGTCACTTTTGCCAAAAAAATATTTACGATTATGTCAAAAAGTCAAAACGTTTTATTACTCTGCTAAACTAGTACCAGTATATAAGCATTATCAATTTTGAGGAACAAGAAAGCATGGCATTAAAAACATGTATTAACCCTATATTATTGAACTACCAGCTATACGCTTATAGTTATTCTGATGTATTTATTTTTGAATCAAAATGGAATTCAAGATAATTCGCTAAATAACATCACAAGTTAATGAGAAACAATATTTCATGAGGTGACTTAGAATAAAACGAAAATAACAGATTACCTTCAACATCCACACACTTGTCAACACCCTGATGTATTTCTTCTACTGCAACTGACACCTCAAGGAGCTTCTCTCGTTTTAATATTGAAACATACCTCTTAGGACTACTCAGATGTAAAACTAGTACTTTAACCTATAATTCAAAATATATAGGTTTATAATGCCATAGCTGCAATAATGGCAATAACCATAAATAATGAGCAGACTCGCAACCAATAACGTATAGGTAGTCACCTAATACTCCTAAATCAGGTAGTCACCTGTTTGGACTGTCATCATTACCCCTCGGAAAAACACTGGAAAACTATACCTTTGTTTTCAAATCAATCTATTTGTCTTGTTCTTGGCCCATCCATATAAACCTCCTCGCCCACGTTCCATAAAGAGCGTGTCAGTCGTCATAGAGTGGAGGGTATGTAAGAAGTTTGTCGTGATAAAGCAACAAAAACTGGGAATAGGACTATTTTCCGGTTTGTGACTATCCAAGTATTCAAGAAGCTCTGAAAGTCAAAGTAAACTCAACAAACGCAGGATAAAAGTGTCATTTACACGTCCAAAAAAATATTACCTTTATTTCCTCGATGAGAATGGTAAAATGTTTAAATATCATCAGTTTGATTTACTGCGCCAAATTTCGTGACATGTGATTATTTCACCCGCGTGATCGGTGACTTATAAGGGGCGTGAAAAAAATTTATTTTTTAGAATATAAAAATTCCGTTATATGCCAAAGTCTAGTTTGTACACTGTTTTTCAGAACACAAAAATTCATTTTAATCACGCCACTCAACCACTCAAATTTTAATTTGATCACGATTTAGGATTTGGCAGATCAGATCGGAAGGATCGTAAATATCGCAAATATAATATTTAACCTCATATGATCATTTAACTATCCCCGAGTTAACGTCAACTTGGGAAAATGATTGATCACCTTTTAGGAAGGCCCTCTCCTTCTTGGAAACGTTTTCAAGTATTTATAGTCTCCTTTACCTGGTAATCATTTATATTACTAAATCAATAAACTTTGCTTTAAAGATATTATCTTCTAATTAGCAAAACTTTTGCTTTTAGGTTTTGGTATATCTACAAAGCTGATAGAAGAGGTCCTAAATTTTGTCAAAAATGGAATGATAAACTTTGTAAGTTCGAACCTTGTCGAATTAGATTATATTAATTTTTTTATTTTTTCTAATACTTGCTTTAAAGTAGCTCAATTCACTCCTTTTCAATTAATTGCCGGTACTTTGGCATTCTTATATATGCTAAAAAATGCTGACCGCATGATAGGACTTGGTGGTAAGTTGTATTTAATATTCTTGATCAAACTAATTTTGTTACAAATTAATTTATTTATAACATTATTATTTTTCTTTTTTTTTTATAATTTTGACAAAAGCACCGGAACCACTCTCTCGACTTGTACGTAACTGTAAATTAATTCTAAACTTTCTTTTTTTCTACTTTAGAGTCTAAAAGAAAAAACTTTTAATTTATACGATTGCATATAGTACAGTCGTAATTTTTATCGTGCAACTTGGATTTATACTGCACTTGATGCCGGATTTTGGACTGCAATGCCGATTCGTCCTAAATTTCTTAAAGATATAATGTCAATTGTTTTTTCGATATATTATTTAATCTTTGCTGATCAGGCAGACGAAAAAGTAAGAATGATAAATAATACTTTTTTAGAGTCATTTAGATTTCAATCAATCTATTAATTAATACTTAGATTCGAAGAATACGCGCTACAATTACTGTCGAGCAATTACGCGTTTCTTGGGAAAAGTCTTATAACCCAATTTTACGTGCCGCAATTCGGTTAAAACAACCTCGTTTGTCTATATTTCAAAAGAAAATTCTTATCCCTCGTCCAAAAAATAATCCTCACGGCACACGACCGGTTATTGGTTATATTTATTATGCTGGTTCACCAGAGTCATTGGCAAATCAGGATAAACTTGTACTCGATTTCCCAGGTGGTGGTTTTATCGCGATGCCTCCCCCTTGCCATGAAGATTATCTGAGCCATTGGGCAAAAAGAACTCAAGTACCTATTTTAAGTATAGACTACTCAAAAGCACCGGAGTTCCCATATCCTTATGCTTTAGAGGAATGTTTTGATGTTTATCAAAGTATTATGGAAAGCAACGGTGAAGCTATAGGAATAGCTGGATGGACAAATAAAGACGGTAGCAAAAGAAAGCAAATTAAGGTTGTTATGGCCGGAGATTCTGCGTAAGTATAATACATTATTCATAAATTCTTCATCAAATTTAATTAATTCTTTTCTTTGCAATAAATAAAAAAAAGTGGTGGGAATCTTGTGACATCTGTAATGTTCAAAATACTTGAATCCTCAACAACCCTTTCACATCCTACCGCGTTAGTTCTTATTTATCCCTGCTTGAATTTTGACATTACGTGTTGGATGGCACCGTCTCATCTTTCTGTCATAAGGGCGGAATCCGCCCATTCTATTCCCGGAGTTTTAGAATCTAAGGATCATTTACGCCATAAAAGTCCTTTGTCAGTAGTCCCAGATGTCAAAAGGAAAAGGTGGAGAAAAAGCTTCTCTGGACCAAGAGAAGATGAGAGGACGATCGAAGAAAGAGTTAAATATATTGACGGTCATGATGTTACCGGGAACCCCAAAGAAAAAACCTCTCGTCCCGTAATAGGAACACGATTAACAATGACTAGTCGTATGAGTTTTTTTAATGATAGGATCATAAATCCTGATATGGTAAAATTTATTTATGTATTTTTTTTTACAAATTTATTTGTTATCGTGTGCATTGGTCATTTATAATTACAACAATTTTATTCATCTCTAGATGCGTGCAATGGCAATTCTTTACCTTGGGCCTAATAATTATCCTGATATTAATTCAGATTATTTGCTTTCCCCAATCGTTGGACCTGATGAATTGTTGGCACAATTTCCAAAAGTTTATCTTATGTGTGGGGAAAAAGATCCTTTTGTCGATGACACTGTTGTATTTGCAGGACGTATAAGAGAAGCTAAAAGGAGGAAAAAACAAATGACAGATGGTGGTAAATTTGGGGAAGGATTAAGAATGAGCAGCGTAGAGAAATCTGATAATGATGATTGGGTAGAGGTGAAAATCCTTCAAGGGATTAGTCACGCGTTTTTACAAATGATGTCGGTATTGCCAGAGAGTTCAGGCGCTGTAAGAGCCATTGGGAGATGGTTGATTCAAAGTTTACAAGATTTACCAGATTCGAATTTCAAAAATGACAATAATACTTCAAATAGAAGGAGTGTAACAAATCAAGACGAAGGTTTGATAATTTCGTCTCGACCTTCTACAATTAAAGACATGGCTAAAATTCAACAGAATGTAATTAGTAGCATTTCTAATGATTTATCTCAACAACAAAAAATACACTCGACATCACCGAAATCAAATATTCATGTTTCACATTCGCTACCAGATGTTACTTTAGTGAATGAAAATTCTCATAAACCATCATCATATCCAATACATGTATCCGCTTCCGAAGTTGCACTATCTCCAGTGCAAGAACGTGAGCGCGTTTTGTGGGAAGAGCAGAATATTCTCAAGGAACATGAAATGTTAAAGAGAAGACGAGATGATTTATTAACTCATCTTACAGAAGGATGTAATACAACAACAACAGATCAAGAAAATATGATAAAAAAATAATCATTACGAAACATTCAAATTAGCATTCTATTATCTGTGTTTATTGTTTATTATAAATTTGATAGAATTCAATAGGTTGATTTTATCATGTAGTTATACTAAGATTTAAATAGAACGTTTTTATCAAATACCTTATATTACAATTAAGGTAAATTAAAAAATTTAGTTAATCAAATATATTTTTAGTCGTCTGATTCGAATATTGGTGGTCAAATACTGTAAGTTCTAGTTTGAAAATGTAAATATCAAATTTTGGATTTTACGATATTTAATCAGTAGAGTTTTCCACGTTTTGTGAATCTTGTTGACGTGAAGATCGTAAAGCACGATGTTCAAGAATGGAATTGGCAAAGTTACTAATATACGTTTTCTAAATCCAAAATTCCATATTTGATTTTTGACTTTAATAATTATATTCTTTTTGTATTAATAAAATGGAACAAGAAGGCTTACCAGCTCATCATTGCGTCGGCTACAAAGCTTTTAAAAAATTTAAATATGATTAATAATAAGAAATGAACAAAAAAAAAAGTCAATGGTTGAGTTGATGTGATAATTTACCTTCACATCATCCATCGAGATTGTGGATCGATTCGCATGACTGTTTATGAGGATATGATAGATTTAATAAAATAATAATTACAATAATCTCAGGGATACACGTAATATATATATAAGGACTTTGCAAAATTTTCCAAGTTTATCGCGAACGTTTCTAAATTGGTGAAACCCAAAGTGAGTTTTAGAATAACAAATGTGAAATAAATTTATAAGTTAAAGAGGGATAGATATGTTTACCAGCTTGTTTATATACCATTTCTGTTAACGACGCGATAAATAATTGAGTAGGGATTACGTTCAATTCTTCAGCTAAGAAATATAAAAAGTAATGTTAACATTATATAATCATAAAATTTTCGTAAAGTGAGTTTGTAGTTGTACCTTCTTCGTGACAAATATCATTAACCGTTTGCCATATCGTCGCTTTCAAAGTCTTCAAGAAAAGTGATCATTTAAATTTAGTTAATTTAAATATATATTTCGATAAAAAAAAAAAAAAAGACTCCTCGCACTTACCTCCCGACTTTGAATTCTTTTTTGATTCATTTTCAAAATAAAGGTACTCGGAACTTTTTTGTTTGGACATCTAATTTATTTGGTTTGGGAACGATAATGATTGGATGATAACTGTGTATACATTCGCGTCAACAAATATGTAATAATCTGAATAATTTGCTAGTCTTTTTTTATTTCTGATATAATAAATTCCAAATGCATTTCACTCTAAAAGAAGAATCATACGTAATCATTGATAATGGTTCCTGGAGAATAAAAGCAGGAATAGGTGTAACTGACACAAATCAATTTCCTTCCGTGGTAAGTAAACTTTTTTTTTTTTTTTATCAAAACTCGGCAAGCTTGTTCAATTTTTTACACACGTTTTTCTTGAAGATTCGCTTTTAGTGTCATGTTCATAGCACATTTATATTTCGTCAAGTTGATCCTATGGGCGCGTGTAAATTTTATTAACAAATTTGTAGAGGATTGATAAAACAATTCATTCAAAATCATTCTTCACTTAAACCAACAACTCAGAATAAACTGAATTGTTTGTAGCTTCTTCAAACAGAAGTCGGAAAATTGCCTGAGATAGAAGTTGAAAAGCAAAGTTCCGAGATATCGCAAGTTTCGGAAAATACTAAACAAACCGCACCGAACTCACCAGAAAAGTCAGAAAAGGATGCACCCATAAAGACCGCTAAAGGGCCAAAATATGTTTGTGGTATGCAATTAAAGGAATTAAAGGAACAGCACAAAGGTAAATTTGTAACTTCTTTTCCGATAAAACGCGGAAATATTGAGAATTGGGATGAATTGGAAGCATTATGGTACGTTTAAATCATCATAATTGATTTATTTGATGTGTTTACTAATAAGTTTCACACATTTAAACAGGCGACATATTCTCTTAAAGGAATTTAATATCAAAAGATCACGTAATGAATGTCCTGTAATCGTCACCGTCCCGAGTACTTGGAATAAAGTACAATATGAACGAATTGCACTAATATTTTTCGAGACCTTCAATTCTCCCGGACTTTACATAGCTAATCAGGCATTAATGTCTCTATATGGCTGTGGCAATATTAGTGGTTTGGTTGTGGATATCGGTTACGGGAAAACTGGTACTCCTGATTTTCATGTCGTTTAAATTCTTTGATTTGTTTGTTCTCTAATAAACGTTAATTTTTTCAATTTAGAGATAACCCCAATTTTAGAATGTTCAATTCAGCATCACGCAATACAAATCGTACCTATTGGTGGTCAAGATTTCGATGAATATTTTCACTCGTTGCTTTTGTTGGACACTCAATTTCTTGAAGAGTATGGGGAGACACCTGATAAAGATTTTGCGAGAGCTCTTAAAGAATCAATTTGTGAAGTTCTATTAGATACTAACAATTTGGAAGATAAGCCTGTGAGGATGGAACTCGAATATCACGGAAAAAAGGTTCATAAACATTTTACTAGCAAAGAAATTCTTTTGCATGCTTTAAAGATTAAGTTGTGAAAAATTCAACTTTCTTTTATAGTTTACAGTTGGTCCGGAACGTTTTCATGTTGCAGAACCGATTTTTGACACAATGTTGATTAATAGACAAGGAGTCTTATCACTAACAGAAGCGATTTATCTGGCCATATATAGTTGTGAACCAGATAAACGTAACACATTATGGGAGAACATTGTACTTACTGGGGGATCATCTTTGATGAAAGGTTCGTAAAAATATCATTTTCAACACTTTTTATTCAAATAATGAATATTAATATATGTATATATATATATATATATTTTTAAAAAAAAAGGCTTGAAGGAACGTATTAAAAACGATTTGGCTCCATATTTTACATTTTCTGATAATACTGGAGAATACCAAGTTAAAGAAGCAAAATTCTTAAAAGTCCCTGATTATTTTACAAATCTTAAAGACAGACAAGATTTGGCTGGATTCCTGGGCGCTTCCATAACAGCCAAGGTACGGACACTTTTATTTTATCATTTAATCAATTCATATTTTCATTATTATTTACATGATGTTATATTTGTATTTGATAAGCTTTCGTTTCCTGATCCAAAAAGTTTCATTAACAAAGTTGATTATAATGAACATGGGCCAAGCGTGATACACACCAAAAGTTATTAAAATCAATTATAATAATCATAGTGAATTAATTATTTATACTTTTTTTTTTTTTTTAAAAAAAAAAAATATATTCATATTTTTTTCAAAAACACGAAAACAAATTTTGATTTTTAAATTGAAATTAATTCATTATAATATAGTTATATTATTTACATGATTTGATCCTGAATGGATTGAACAATACAATTAATAAATAGATTATTTGAAATTCAAACTTACTATACTACCGTAGAGAACAAATACAGTCTCCTCCAATATTCTGTTTTAATTTTATGTCAATCGTAAACTACTTAGTATTATGTGAATGTTCTCAAGAGACCAATCTTTAACCGTCTGAAGATTTCTTTTATTGTCTTATAAACCACATATTTGCACATAGTCCTTTTATTCTATAGTGCTCTACCTACTGGTGGAATTGTCTAATAAGAAAATGTTTTGATCCCGAGTAAATGTTATTTGATCTGTGTAAGGATGAGGGTGGGTAGTTACAAAGATGCGTAGTCACGTAAAGTCACGGGTAGGACCTCAGGTCTCACACGTGATCAAACTGTTCTTCAATCATTCAAATTTGCGAAGCGGTAAAGCTTCGAGATAGAACTTGTACTATAAGATATAATGCGTTTAAATCTTACCCACTCCAATTTTCTGGAATAAGCTATAAATCTTCATAGCCTTTTGAGTTTTTTTACGCAAAGCATCTTTAGTAAACCCTTCAGGAAGATGCTCCATTGTATCATCATATACTTGGTTTCTAGCCGATTGATCGCTGACTCTTCTCTGAGAATTCTTCATACGCCTTTCCATAGTGATACCAACATAAAATCTCCTCTTGGTTGCACGTGTTTTGCACGACAAGCTTTTTGGTACAAGCGGGCTAAAGTCTTTGGCATCGAAGACCAAGAATTCATCCTCAGAATACATCATTATTCTCGGCAGAATCCCCCTAACAGGCGTAGATAATTCTTGCAAAATATCTTGTTCGCGGTTGGTTCTGGAGGTTGATTGTCTCGATAAATTTTTTGATAAATGTCTCAATGGCCGGGTTTGAGTAGTGATTAAAGCAAACAGTGTAACGGTCAACTGACTGTAAAACTGCGTAAAAAATATCATAAATTTTATGTAAAAAAGTTCTCCTGATGAGCCCTTCTAGACTTCTAGAATTAGTAATAAAATTTTTTTAAGGGCCGTTTAACATCCTTAAAATACAATTACAGACACAGTAAAAATTTTCAAATCATTTATCATTTTATTTTGATATTATAGCAATATTTTGAGTGCGATTTATTTTAAAAATGTTATTTAATTCTGAATAGACAAATCCGCCCATATGTTCAAACCAATAAGCAAGCAAATTATCTAATATGTTTTCTAATTAAGAAAATCAAATTATCTTAAAAAAATTCACCCTGCTGACCCCAGCACACCAAATGAATTTTTGTCAGATAATTTATAACAAAAGCGAAAAAAAATTTTGCTGACCCAGCAACCCTGAATCTTTGTTTTGCTTTTGCTATGAGAAAGAAAACGAAAATTATATAATTAAACTATTTTAAGAGGATAATAAAAAGTAAAAAAAAATTACTTTGCTACCCAGCAACTCCAGTATTTATTTTACTCTTATTACCAGAAAGGAATGTGAATTATATAAAGAAAATTACATGTATCAATCTTTGACTCTACCAAATGATTTTAAAAGTTGTTCTAGTGTAACATATCCTTGCTTAAATGGGGGTTCACGAATACTGCTTTTACAATCTTTCGCATCATGGCCAATGCACTAACATTTAACACAGGAACCTAAATATGATGTTTCAATATTCAGACGTAAGAACATACATGGCAAGTTTCCTTGTATATACCAAAAGGATCAATCCAGTTTTTTTTCTTTGACAAGGTTTAATACGCTTGTTGGTAGTTGTATTTGGCCTATTTAATACACATAAAAAGGAAAAGTTAATATAACACGTTAGCCTATCAATTACACTCAAAGCGCTTATATTTGATAAAACTGAAGTGTATGAGCAACGGTACTGGTACGTGATGAAGTAGTCTTTTGAGACTTTTTGTGGTAGAAGAACGTGGTGAACTTGTTTCTTTATTATTTTTTTGAAATGTCAGCTGTAAGCGTGTATATTATGAACGAAGTTAAAATTAGTCTAAAAGATAAACCTTTGAACTTGTCATTGTGTTTTTATGCTATTACCTTTTGAAATGGAAGTTGAGAAGTTAAAAATTTTTTGGGAATTTTGGGAATTTTTTTTTTTTTAAAAAATTTTTTCGCATGTGATCAGTTAAAGAAAATGTTGAACGCGTTATTTTCTACTTTGTGTCAACATCACGTAATTAAAAGCTAAATTTGGTAATGATAAGAATTGCTAAAATCAATAAAATCAACAAAACTAACTATATTAAGAAAAAAAAATAAAAAGTAGTGTAAAATCCTGATAAGTAATTTCAAATTTTTTTTTTAGTTGAAAAACTCGAGACTAAATGACCTAGAGAATCGGGAAAATTAATCAATTTGGCTTTAGAGATTTACTTGCTTCAAATGTTACAAAAATAAATTTGTTAAAACCTCAGCAATGATTTTAGCCTTTAGAACCATAATAAAAATAAATATAATTTAATAAGCAAATATGTTAAAAACATTATAATTGCAATCTGAGTAATGATAAAATCTCATTAACCTTTTTTTTTCACGTACTGATATACTTTTTTTACTATACTATTTATTTTTGTTGAAGTAATCTATATTATTTGCTATAATACGTAACAAGCTACCAAAAGTTTATAAAGAATCTATAGTCACAATGTATATACAATATACCTACCCTTAGACTTTTCTAAAACTTTCACAGAATTTCTTCTAAAAATCTAATTGCTTTTAAAGAAATAAAATGATATTGTTACTTAAATGTTTAATTTTAAGATAAACTTGAGAGAAAGTTTTTGCAAAGTCATTGGTAATAAATACTTTGATAATTATAATAATGAAAATTGATTTTACTGAATTTAAAGTTTCAAACTTAAATGAGAAGCTCTTTCGTAAAAAAATCATAAAAAGTATAGTTGAAGATCTTCAAGAAATGAATTTTTGGAAAGTTGACAATGATAAGGTTGAAAAAGAAGAAGATAATCTACTGAAAATGACATTGAAAATAAACTCAGAAGCAAAAAGATGATCATTCAACACCTACTTATTAGATATTTTGATGATAATCAGAAAATAAATATAGAAGGCATTCATATCTTTGTAACCCTATCTATATTGATAAGTGACTCCCAATTTTATACCTCTCAAACAAGTAATTTGCTATACTTTATCACTTATTTTTTTTATTTGATCAGGAAAAGAAAGTTGAATTTGAATAATAGAAATGAAAAAAAATATTGAAAAAAAGATAAACTTATAGATGCATTTATAATGTTTTTGATTTAAAAGCATCAAAATTTTAACAAATAATTATTTCTTAGTTCTAGATCTTACTAATGTTCAAATAATAATGAAAAGAATAATAGAACTTCTAAAGGATCCTGATGTTTACTCAAACCCAAAAAATATTCTTTCATTATCATTTTCATTTCTTAGTTTAAACAAACCAGTAGAAAGGTTTGCTTTTAACACTAATTGTTCCTTTGCCTTTATGGAAAGAAAAGAATTCAAAAATGTTTTGATAAAATCAACAAACTTTAAGCTTCTTATAGTTATATGAAAATGTTTATTTATGGAACTATAGGGTATGGAAAGTCATATATTCTTTTAGCAATCACTTGCTACTTTTTTTGTGTTAAAATACATATAGTAGTATATATTCCTAATTATCATGCTTTATCATTGAAACTGGTGAAATATATTAAGTTAAACCTATTTTTTACATTTGTAAATGATCCTGAGAAAATAAATAGAATTAGTTTATATGAAACACTTGATGATATCATAGATTTTTTTGAATCAGTAGAAGAATCATTATATATCATTATAGACTAACTGAATGCTTTAGATGAAGACAATACTAGAATTATCATACAATCCAAAATCAAAGTTAGGGAAACTATCAATAAAATTCGTGATTCACATTTTGTATTAAAAGTGCTTTAGCAAATAACAAATAGACACTTCGATATAAGATAAAGCAGACTAATGAAATTAAGATGGCTTTTATGAAGGGCTTAAAAAAGCAAAACTAAGATCAATTACTAAAGTGCTTTTATTATAAATATTCTGCTTGATAACATAAAGTTTAATTTAGAGTGAGATATTAGAATAGTAAGTATAACAGGATCCCAAAAACTTATAAGATAGGTTATAGGCAAAAAAAAAAATTTTATATGATTTTTATACATTTTTTTTATTAAGATATTGATGCAAATTTAAACTATAACTTTATAAAACTAGTAAAATATACAAATTCAATCTATAACATTTAATAATAAATGCTAAAATTTAGCCAAAATATTACGAAATTTAACATCATTAAGGTTGTTAAATATAGTTCTAGCTGTTTCTTTTAAGAAAAGAATATTTTCTTCTATTTGTATATTAGTTTTTCCAATATTATAAACAATGTGTTTTGGATTATAATGTGAAAATAAAGAACATCCATTTGCATCTAATTCTGCAAAAATATAATCTTGAATATGTGTGAATACTTGAAGAGATATGTATTATAAACCTTGAATATCTGTTATTGGTTAAGTTATATAAGAATGAAATTTATCTTTTTGTTCATACATTGCAATTACTTTCGCAATATATAATTGCATATTAAAAATAGCAATAACAAATGTATTAGTAATAAGAGGAAATATTAAAGTAATATTTGCAATAGCCAATTATTCTAAAATATAAAAATTATTAAAATTTTATTGATAATTTAATAATTTAATAATATAAATAAATTACCTGAACAGTTCAAAAGCTTTTCTATTTGAATATATGCTTTTACATGATTTGTTCAACGATCTTACCATTTTTATTATCTATGTGTTTGTATAACCACCTCATCATTGTTGATTAAATAAGCACATATATTACTTGCAATATTTGATTGAATTAAAGTATTAGTTTCTATTTCAACATTTGTTTGATAAAATTTTTGACGTTCTAATTCTCTACATATAAATGCTTTATGTAATTTCCTTTCATCAATCATTACTTATATATTTAGTTCACCAGATGGCAATTTATAATTAATGATATTTGTATCTATTTTAAAACAATTTATATTAATATAAATATAAAAAATATAAAATAAATATTAATAAAATAATAAAATTTTCAAAACTTACTATTATAAATAATACATAAATCTTCTTTTTGTAAAGCTATTAATTGAGTTTTACAATCAGAAGATAAAATATTACTAATATTTTGTGTATAATCAAATGTTGTAAATAATGCTTCGCTTGCTGAAATAGATAAAGCTGTTAATAATTCGATTTGTAGCTCTTGAATATCATAACTTTGGTTATTGACTTTATTATTAAATATAGTATCATCATCACAAATATTCAATAAACTATTTTACTAGAAAAATATGTCATTGATTCTAGTTTTTTTTTTATAACTAATACTTTGGCAAGTTCAGATACTTGATGAAAACTAACTTCAATTGCATTTTTTATTTCAATATCTGTTGACCAAGAACGAAATGTTTCAAGAGATTTTTGATCAAGCATTTCATCAATATCAAATTGATAACCTATAATATAAAATATTTTAATATTAAAAAATTTATAATATGATAATATATATTATATCAATATAAAATTCATACCTTCGCGTACAGTTTTTTCTTTATTTAAAATAATATCTCCTGTTTTAATTGATTTTGTATAATGAGAAATTTTAGGAATAAGATTTAAAATATCATTATATTTAAAATCATTATGTAATTGCCTTGTAACACTAAAAAAATGTTCACATGCTTCTGTGTCATGTTTCTAAGGTAAAAGAAGATAAGTTGAATAAAATTCACGATAAATTTTAATTAAAAGTAAAAGAGATTCTGTTAAACTTGTAAAAATATTAAAACTTTGTAAAGCTAGAAAATTATTTGTTAAAAACATATAATTAGAATATAAATGAGAAGTTATTTCAATATTAAAGCACTAAAGATAAAGAAAAAAATAAGCTCTTGTAGCCATTTTAATTCTTTCAAATGGGAAATTTCACAATTAAGATAACTATCTAATAATTCATCTATTTATAATAAAGTTATATATTATTAGTAATTTAGTAATTTAATATAAAAAAAGTAAAAATAAAAATAAACCTACTCATAATGAATAAATATACAAATAAACCTTTATTATCATTAGATAATTGTCTATTATCTAGAAGCTGCTCAAGATTTTGAGTACAGAATATATGATATGCAATATTATCATTTTGCCGATCAAGTTTAATCATATCTCGTTTATATAAGATACTTTCTGGTTGTTGACATAAAGAAAATAGTTGTCTATAATGTACTGTTAAATTTCCAAAACTTAGTAATCTTGCATCAGACATACAAACATTTCATGCTATTTTTTTACAATGATTTGGATCTTGTACGCGAATAACTGGTCTAACATTTGGAAAAATAGGATAATTAAAATCAATTTCATATTTTTTATAATAAATAGAAAGCTGATTTGATATGAAAAATTTTTGTATAGCTGTTTGGGCTTGAAATTCAGTTAATGCTCCATCAGAACTAATAGAAATTATATGAAGATTAAGCTGTGAAGCAATATTAATAAGTAGCTTAAGATGGAGAGTGGAAATAATATTTGTTTTTTCAGAACCAGTATGTGAAATCAAAGCAATTACTACTGGAGGGAATTTGGGAAAAGAAATCTAAAATAAAATATTTATTTAATAAAAATAATATAATATAATTAAATAAAATAAATTCAATATATAAATGTTTTACTTATAACAGATAGACTCTAACTTCTTTTGCAATAGCTTTTCTTTCTTTAATATTGTTAATAATTATTGAAATATCATCATAATTATTTACTTAAGTTTCTTTTTGTCGTAGTGAAGAACTAATAATATAACTGAGTTATGCAGAATATTGAAGATCAGGTTTTAATTTAGTATTGTCTGTCATCGCAACAACTGAACTATTGTATTTAAGAGTATTTAATAATCATTTGAAACGTGCAATATTTTTATAACATAAATCTGGATC